CTAATAACGGAATTGGATAGTATGCTTTTCTAAAAATAACTACAAAATATCCCAGAAAAATAAACTGATACCTGACCATAATGAATAAATTACAGAAAATTTCAAAATTTTAATTAATCAAAACTATTAACAAGGAGCCGCTTAGCGATGGGATACCAACCATCAGAAGAAGAGCACTTTTTGATTTTAATTAGATAATGAAATAGTTTTTTCACTCTCCATTATGACCATTTACAACTCCATTATTGAGTTACGCCTCTGCCTGAAACAGCGCAAATAGGTGCGTCGCACTAACAATTTAATTAATTGTTAATAATGTGTTGTTTGTCACTTATACTTTCATTTACGGTGTTACTTTGGATTAGCGTAGACTGGTGTATATTAGCGGCATTTTTTAGTTCAAATGTTCATTTGATTTAACTGTAATTTAATATCTAATATGTTTCTTGAAAAAAAGAACTGGATATTTCGCCATCGAAACAGAAATGTAAAAATTAAAAAAAATGGTGGCTTTTTACTTTAAACTATCTAAAATTGATAAATATATTTATATCGAGAACATCTTAGACATTTTGCACAGAAACCTTACCAAAAAATATTCCATATTGATTTTTTAGCAAAAATAGGTTAGTATTATAGAAAAATATGTTTTTTTATTAAATAAATCGTGCTATTTCAGGCTAGAACATAAAGACCTTTTCACTGGTAACAGTTGGTAATGGTCACGGTTTGTTTAAACAGGAGGGAAAATATAAATTGCGTGTGCAAAATGCTTCTGAGTCACGTGCTCATTCACCCTAAAATTTCCCACGAGTAATTTACCCCCTTAGCTGATTTTATATCATGGGTTTTACTTGACACATTTTTATTTGCAAACTTATTTTAGTGCTTTTTTTTATTTATCTTTGTTGATTGGCGTCATTTAAAAGAATCCAAAGGTTTTAAATAACATAGAATACCGCAAATGAGTACATTTTGGGTCCATTAAGAGACAGAAAATTTAAAAATAAGAGCATACGTTTTCATTAATAGGAACCATTGTTTCAACAACGTTGAAGACTTGTCATTTTTAAAATATTGAAGATCTCATCTGTCATTTTTGAAATAAACCAAAAAAATTACAAAAATAGTAGGTATTAGGTATTTACGTTAGATGGTCTATAATAAATATTGTAATCTTAAATCATACAGGGTGTTCAAAAATCTATGCCAAACTTAATAAAATATAAATTAAATTTTCTTCGTTTTTTTTTTAAATGAAGAATTAAAAAATAAACTTTTTTTTGTATTTAAAGTATTTCCAAACTTTTAATAGTTTCGCATATACACGCAGTATTATTTCATATGGCTCTTTCAACGGTAAAATACGAGGAAAAAATCATTGGGTGGCTTTGACAAAAATTGACTGTGGAAAATGCCATATGAAATATAAAACCGCGAATATCTGCGAAACCGTTAAAAATTTTAAAATACTCTAAATACTAAAAATGATCTTTTTTTAATTCTCTATCTAACAAAAAAATAATATACAGGGTGTTCCATGTAAAAATACGACAAAAAATGATTTTATATTTTATATGAAATATTACTTTTTAATTATATATTTAATAGTATACCTGTATGCTACATAAAATAAGAAAATGAAGACAATAACGTTAACTGATTATTTTTTTTATTTAATCAAACCAACAAGTTTTATATTTAATAACACTTAAATAACATTTTATTAACTGTATAAATCTAAGTTTGATAATATTTTGAAATAAACATTTTACTTAAAAAACATGTTAAAAAGTCAATCAATTTAAGTACATACACCAAAATCGGAACCAAAATTTATCATTAACTCCAATTATATATGTTTGTTTATTGATTTAAAAAAATGGTACATGTTCTCAACAATATCGTGATATAAACAAATGTCATCCATCAAATTAATACTCTTCTAACACATTCAATTGGATAACTAAATAAAAGATTTAAAAATAAATTATCTATATTAAGATAACTGATCCGTTTGTTTATTTTTTAAGGATATACAGAGCGAGTCTTAAATAAGCGCAAATATTTTTAAGGGTGGCATATCATGACCCCAAAAGAACGTCTATGAGTTTTTATTTATAAAAAAAATGTTGAAAATTTTGTATTTTTTAAAAATGGTTGTTAAAATTTCAGTTAAAAAATGTGATACCTGGATAATTTTAAAACATATAGGTCTATACCGAGTGCGTCTCAAAAGTGGCTCACCCCTATAACTTTTTTATTTTTTCAGATAAAATAACGAGACTTGGTACGTTAGTATATGACATAAATCAGGATTGATTGATGTATTCAATTGGTTTTGTACACTTCCTGTTTCACTGGAAATGACTACAACTTTTGATTTTTAAATGACACCTTTGGTATTTTTTTACTTTATTCGGTAGAAAATGACATTCTGAATAGAATGACATATCATACGTCAAAAATTGTATTTTAAATTTCAATCTAGAGCGCCATGGCTATGTTAAAAACACTAATTCTTAATCAAAGAGCCTTGGAAAAATAGATTGGATCATCTACTGTTTTTAGTGTCGTGTACTGGGCAGTTAGAAAATGCTCAAACCGTAATTTTTAATCATATCTCATTTTTTTTCAAATGGAACGAGGGTGGCTCATTAGCATATTTGGAAAAACCATTTTTTGCGAATAATTTGATACCACACACTTGGTATTTCGAGTCAAATTTTGGTTTGAACCGCAAGTTATTATTTCAAATAAACCATATGCGAAAATGTCAAAAGTGGACATATAATATTGTCATTCCATTCAGAGTGTTACTTTCTATCGAATAAAATAAAAAAATACCGAGGGTGCTATAAAGTTGTGGTCATTTCAGGTGAAACAGGAAATGACCGAAAACAATTGAATACGTCAATCAATCCTATTTTATGTCATATACAACATACCAAATCTCGTCTTTTTAACTGAAAAAATAAAAAAGTTATAGGGGTGAGCCACTTTTGAGACGCACTCGGTAGATTATATTTAGAAGAACAAAAAAATAAATAAAAAAAATCAAATCGTTCTCAAAAATCAAAATTATTTTTATTTAAAATTTCACACTACAGTAACATGACTGTTTTTGAAAAACGACAAAGAGAAGATGTACTTCTATTATACAGATCTACCAACCCTGAAAATATTTGTACTTATTTATGACATTCCCTGTATAATTCCAGGTATATAGCATATATTTTATTAGATCAAGCAATTAATTTTAAATAATGTAAGTTATGAAATAATCGAATTTAATATTAATGAATAATTATGCACAATAACGAGCAAATAAATTAATAATATCTACCTACTCACTTGACGATTGTTGTTTACAAGAAGTTAAATTGACATTGCGCTCAGAGTACAGTTCGAAGAAACCTAAATTAAAATTAAATGCATTATTAAGAATTATAAAAAGATAATGTTAATACATTTTATTTGTTTTTGCTTATTAATATAATTATTACAACAGATTCTGAATACGATTTCTGTTTATTTCCAGTATTTCTATTCACTAGAAAAGTTCTATCCAAGAAGAAAATTCTAGCTTTTGTTCTTAAAAGCCAGATAAAACAAAAACAAATATGTATTAAATGTAGTAATTAGATTTATATACAAACTTCTTCTTTCATAAGAATAATAATAATAATGATGACAGATTCTTAATACTTGAAAGTGCCTACTTATGTTGGGGATTTTTATTGGATTTTTTTTTTCATTTACCAGAATTTATTCATTTAACGATCATGTACTAAACATAATCTTAAAAAATATATAACTTGTTATTAATAGATACAGGATATGATGATTACTAATGATTAATTAATCGAATACAAAACGAATCTACCTTTTTAGATCAATATTTCCAAGTAATATTCAAATAACTACTTGAATAAGAGTGTTTTTTACATAGTTAAAATGTTTCTATATTCACAGATTTTTAGTTAATTCTGATAAATTTCATAGAGGATTAAAAAAACTGGATACAGGAGATAAACTGGATAAATTGGGGACTGGAACCTTAGACCACGCGGTTTATTCTTAATTTTTGCAAAAGTAAAAAAGTTTTGATATACAGGGCGAATCTGAAATAAGTGTAACTATTTTTACGGGTAGTATATTTCGATCCCAGAAACACGTCTATGAGGTTTTTTTCGCGAAAAAAAAATTTGAAAATTTGGAAGACCAAGTGTCCGAATTAAAGAACATAAAGATTATTTAAGAAAGGGAGATTTTCACAAATCTAAGATTTGTCAGCATTCATGGAACACAGGACACAGAATAAATTTTAACAACGCCAAAATTATAATGAAAGAAACGATAGCCTCTAAGAGAAAAATAAAAGAGGCTTTTTTAATACAATCTAATAAAAATAAATGTATTGCTCATGCATCTGTAGATGTTAGTAATGTATGGCAATCGCTTCTTTGATTTTAAAGAACATAACATAAATAAACATAACATAAGTAAAAATTAAAAATAATCATACTGAAAGTTTGAGGTTTTTTGGTTTTACCTTATTAAGTAATTGTTATCAGGTAGTAATATTATTAATTTTGAAGTTTAACTTGGGGGGGGGATATAATGTCTTTTTAACAGAACGTCAACCGTTTTTGTATCTGTTTTAAAAAAAACTAAAGTGTTCTGGAATAGTTATTGCAAAAAATAACTATTTTATTTTGTAGATTTTCTTGCAGTGGCGAAATACCCATATATGATTTTTTGGAGAAATGAATCCGCCACATAGGTATAGACATTTTTTAAAATATCTCGGTTATTTTGGACTTCTTTGAAAAACGGTAAAGAGAAAATATGTTTCTTTTACCGAGATCTACTAGTCCTGAAAATATTTACACCTATTTAAGACTCACCCTGTAGATGCGGGATCGGAGTGCGCTAAAACTCTACTTTTGGGTCTTGAGGATCTGCCTGCTCGTCCAGAGCACACCGACCGGCAAAATTTCAGTTAGCGATCAGAGACGCGTCGGCTCGAAGGACCAGCTGCTCGAAACCGATCGAGAGACGCGCGAACATATCGTCCTTTTTTTGATTTGCCGGTATTTTTAATAAATTCGGACAGTTTTTTTGCCGAATTTTGTATTAGTGAGAGTTACAGAACAATAAACATTGGTCATTAAAGAAGAAAAAAAAAATGAGGAAAATATTTTAATACCTAATTTGGTAAGTCATTAATTTTAATGTTAATTTTAATTAACAGGATTAATTAAGATGCTCCAGTTTTAATAATTAGTCTCTGTTTTATTATTATATATTTATTTTTTTTTTAAATATAATCTTTTTTTGTTCAAAGAGACTGATGTTAATATACAGTAAGTACCCGTAGCGTGATTAGAAGAAGAAAAACTTATTTAATATTAATATTTCGAGAGAAATATGAATTAAAATATATTTTTACACCATTTTGTATTTTTCCAATTTCACAATTTTCAATATCGTTTTGGAGAAAAATTAAAAAAAGGTGAAATCAAGGTGAATTTTTTTCAAGTCTTAAAAATCAGAACGTGCTGCTATAGTCTTGGTATTCGTTTTCATTGTTTTATAAATGTTTTTTAATTATTTTAATCAACGTCATATTTTTTGCTGTTGTTAAAAATCACCCTTACCGAAAACTAATATCACGTATCACCCTTTCCGTAACGTTGAACTAAAGAATTTTCTCTACGATCGTGCAAAAAGTAGCTATTGTTTACACTATCTACTGTATTAAAAGTCATTTTTTTAGCTAAAGAGAAAAAAATTGTAAATGTTTGTAAAAATTTGTCAAATCCTGGAAGATAAACCAAGTACCAGTACTGGTTGTAACATTCCGGAAAATAGTTTTAAGTGAAGAACAAGAACCGGAGACCTCCACGAGCAGAAATGACAAAATTCAAAAGACTACTGGAAATGAAGTTTGTCCATTAATTACCTCAGTGAATTTTTCAAACTGCGATATTAAAATTAAAATGAACTCAAAAAAAGTTATTACAAAAGCAAAAGTGTCATTGTTATTGGTAATATTATTCTGTCAAATACTGTTAAAATTTATTTTAAATAATTACTAGCTGTAAACGGCAATAACTTGTTTAATTTAAACGGAACACCCTGAGAATCAGATGCACAATTTAATTGTCTATCAAATTGTATTATGCCATTTTTTACCTATCTCTTCAAGTTTCCGTAGAAAATGCATTTTCTTGTAATTTAGAACTTATTTATCAACATCCCCATGGAATACTGACATTTTAGATTATTTTTAAAGATGTACCAAATTTTTAAAGAGTACAGTTACTAATATTGTCGATATAGTTCGTTTATTTCATTAAAAAATAAAAAAAAAAACTGTTTAAATATTTGTTAAAGAGGACCAGTTAATATGATTCCAGTATTCAAACTACATTAATTAATTGTTTGCGTTGATTAATAATAATTGCTCCAAATACTAAAAAACTGAATTATGTATGTGTATTAGACAGTGTGGTAAAAAGTAACACCTTAAAAATGATATTTAATTTTTTGACAAATGCTTATTTATAACAACAGAGAATTATATTGATTTCTGATTCAAATCCACATTTATTTAGAATAATTTATTAACGAACACAATTAAGTATGTAGTTAATTAGTATTTGGGCGGAAATACTGGTGGTATATTTAATTAATGGTATACTCTTTTATAAAGATTTAAATAGCTTTCTTTTTGCATACAAATGGGCTAGTAAAATTATCGTTTTACTAAAAACAATAATATTACTAGCCTGTACATTTTGTACATTTGTTGTTTTAAAAACAATCTAAAATGTCAATATTCCATGGGTATATTGATAAATGAGGTCTAAATTATAAGAAAATGCATTTTCTACGAAAACTTGAAGGAATAGGTAAGAAGTGGTATAATACAATTTGATAGACAATTAAATTGTGCATCTGATTCTCATAAAATATACAGGGTGTTATATTTAAATTAAATAAGTTATTGCCATTTAAAGCTAGTAATTATTGAAAATAAATTTTAGACACTCTGTATAAGGTAGTATAATTTTATTATTGCAACACAATAACTGATCCATAAATAAACTTCAGTAAATATTTAGTATTTAAAACTTTGATATCCTCGGAGAAATGAAGCCTTAAAATTTATACTGCAATTTCGCAAAATTGAAAATATTTCAAAATCGGTAAGGATTAAGTGTAATAAACCTTAATCAAATTTACCTTTACTTTAATCGTAGAAACTAAAAATGTAATAATATACAGGGTATTCCACATTTTTTATTTATTTGGGACACTCTGTATCTTGTAAAAATATTTTTAAATTGTAGCTCTAATAGTCCTTTAACGAATCTAAAACTTACAATTTGTAAAAATCTAATCGTTTAGCTACAATATTCCGTGTCGTATGTGGTGTGTATAGTTTTAAATTTCAATTTAAAAAAAATTATTATAACGAAAAATTATGCAGGTATCTGAAAATTAAATCCGTTTTAAATTATCAAATCTTAATAAACGATTTTAATGCGAATATACATTGATTTTTATTTTTTAGTTTCAAAAAATTTAACGAAAAAATATTTTTCTAAAAAATAATTAATAAACTAAAGTATTTTAATAAAGTGAAGGAAATTAAAGATAAAGGATTATACTATATCCGTATTGTAGCACATTTTTAGACAACTTTATTTTTAAGATTTTGAAGGTCAAGAATCAACAAAATATTCCTTATGTTTGAACTAAATTTTCTCGAAAATAAAGACATAATTTAAAATTTCGTTACAATACGGAAATAGATTGAAGTTTTGTGATTACAGTGATGTCTAATTTATATAGTTTTGTAACAAATTGCTCGCTATTTTATGGCAATTGCTGAAGCTTTGCAAACCTTAATCAAGACTTAATCAAAGGACGCGTGTTTGGAATTTTAGGTGTGGCTTAACTTAACACGACAGGATCGGGCTAAGCCTTAGGCAGATTTCTAAAATATAATCTATACTAATATATAAAATCCTTAAGTGACTGACTCACTGATTAATCACGATCCTGTTCAAAACACTCAACATAAGAAGCTCAATTTTGACATACAGGTTGATTCTAGGGTGTAGAGGTTGGATAAGAAGGGATTTTTCGAAATTCCACTTCCAAGGGGGTGAAATTTTTATTTAAAAAACGGTCAAGTTTCCGGAAAACACGTATGTTTTATTTTGTTTTTATTACCTATTTTAAGATTTTTTAAAAATGTATACAGGGTGTTTCGAAAAATCTGGCCATTGATTAATCACGATCCTGCTTAAAGCGCTTGACGTAAAAAGCTGATTTTTGGAACACGGATTGACTTATACGGGTGTAGAGGTTCGATAAGAAGGGATATTTCGAAACTCGAAATCTAAGGGGGTGAAACCATGCCTCAAATATTGGAATATTTTTTATTTAAAAACCGGTAAACGGGAAACTCTTAAACACGTATATTTTTTTTTCTTGTTTTACATATTTTAAGATTTTTTAAAAATTTATACAGGGTGTCTCATAAAATATGACTATTGATTAATCACGATTCTGCTTATACTGCTTGACGTTTAAAGCTGATTTTTGGCAAATGAGGTGTAGAGGTTCGATAAGGAGGGGTTTCTCGATTGGTTTTTCTCATGCTGACATAAATGTGAGAAAATTTTATCCAGTTTGTATGTTAATGGAAATTGTTGCTTTGCTTTATCATCACCATTACAAATTATTAATTCGACGCGAACGAAGAATAGACTCTTAAGAAACACCCTGTACTGTTCTATATTTTAATTTGACGCACCAATATCATAACACGAGTTTCAAAAAATATCTGAATATAAATCTTATTTTAAAAAAAATATAAACGTCCATCTATAAATATTATAATATGTATTTTATTGTAAGCAGACATCTGTAGCGATATAACGGGGATATTACGTTTATTTTTGATACTGAAGAAAGTAAACAAAAACAGAAATAAGAAAAATATGTATATTTTCATATATCCAGGATCCAAACGGAATTAAATAAATAACATCTGCTTGATTTATATATAAGTTGACCGAAAAATCATTTATTAAATTTGTTTATGTTAATTTGCAAGTAGATATAGATCACGAGAAACTTGAAAAACATATTAGGTATTACATTAGATAATGTTTGTGATTGATGATGATGAGATTTATCTTAGATCAACAAAAATTTTGACGCATTTTTTAATCAAATATTTTCGCTTTAAAAAAATAAATGTAAAACATACAAACACGTTAAAATACAAACAATTAAATATTACATAAGTTTACATTATTTTGTAATGCTATATTTTAATTTGACTTTTAAAGTCTCATACTCACTATGCGCTGATTCGTCGATATGGTGCGTCAATTTTTCGATAGTGAGTGTGTGTACGTCCATAGTGCACCCGCTTCTCGCTTTATCTCGGTAGACTTCTTCTTAGGTCGCCGTCTCCCTTCGGAAGTTGGCTATGATGGTGCGTGAAACCGCACCTCTGAAACCACCTGAGTACCTCCTCATTTGTCACTCTATCCATCCAGGATATACGACGATACAAGTAATGCGTTTTTCCAACGTCTGATTGAGTGTCCAACTCTCAGAGCCGTAGAGAAATATTGGAAAGATGTAGAACAACGCAGCATACGTATGCGCAGTTCGAGGCTTAGATCTCGGCTGGAGAAATAGTTATTTTTTATACAAGACGATAAAATGGTATTTTATCGACCGAAAAGATTAATTCACGAGCGATGAAATCACGAGTGAATTAATTTCGAAAGACGATAATGCAATTTTATCGTCATGTATAAAACAATATTTTTTCCATAGCGAGTTACGTTTTAAAAATATTCAGAAATTATTATTTCAAGGAATTTATTACGAGTAGAAAAAATATTGTGCTGAGTTGGAGTTGGTTTCTATGTAATTTGACAAATAAATAAAGCTGTCTCTTTAGTTGTCAGTTTTGAGTCAATATTTTTTAATTCTCTTTCGTGTCGATTGCTGATTGAATTGGAGCCAGAAATGGCTCAAAACAAAATAAGTAAATTACCAACAGATATTCAGGCTGACGCAACAAACGCCATATCCAAACTACTTGCATTTAAATCCCGAATAACTTATGAAAAGAAATACAAAAGTTTCAAAAATGGAAGCAATTAAAAAACGTGCGA